GAATTTTCCGTTCAACCCAATATTATAGTAACAGAATCGTTCAAGTACTTGAGGTCATTCCCTCAACACAAGAGGTACTGAACTACTTTGTCTTTGTTCTTGTCATCTCTTTTATATAGAGGACGAACTAACAAGGCGTTTGACATGGATACCTTTATCAAGAAATTTGCAATCCTTACCTTGTATTGGGATAATAAGCTTAATATCTTCATTGATCCAGATGTTCCTCGAATTATCTACAAATGCTCCAACATCGATTATCAGGACACGAAAGACCTAGTTCAGCTTGTTATCCTTTTTATACTGTGCTTCGTGTTTTGCATAAGCATAGTCGACATTGTACATGTCATTACCATGTACTATCGTGCACGATATTTTGCGATGATGTCGCATTATTATTATTATTACTCTTGCGTGTCTGGATCATATTAGGCGCGCCAAAGAGTAATCCAATATTTCCTAGTATTTTCTTGTAAGAGCATCAAGAACGTATGGTACCTCGATGCTGTTATTATGTTGTATTAGATGATTAAACTTCGCCTTGTTCAAAGTTAGACAACACAAACTCTGGTCATGGAAATTTGTTATTAAAAAAATGTTGTTCCAATTCTGATCGATGCAATTAATATCTATAGACAGAAAACTCCTGAAAACAATACTTTACTAAACCAATCCTCAACGTCCCTGGGGGCAAAGGTAGGGTCTACCAGGCTGCCTTACCAACAACTCCATTAGCAGACCCAGGAAAAATCGCTATTTTCCTTTTCCCATTTTTCCATCCACTGTTTTCTTCTCGTCTCATTGGAACTGGCAAATCTGTTATCGTTTTGTAACTCTGCAAATATTACTTAAATAAAAAAGAAAAAAGAATTTACCTTAAATTTCGATGAAGTTCGTAAAATATCCTCAAGGACATATTTCAAGGAAGAAAAAGTTATTCAAATCGAAAAGAACTCTTCTTGAGGTAATCAAACGAAAAATTCGCGACTGCAATAATCTTATCGCAAGATTAACAGAAGGTATCGATATTCCGTTGCGATCTAGGCCGTTTCATCGCAAAATAATGCGAAATATCGATTCCATAACAATCAAAGCCGTTTTGCCGCGTCTTTTAATTTTCCCACGGAATTTCGACCATGAAGAACGAGTCCCGCGATGAACGTTATAAAGGCTGGCAAACGAACAGAAATAAATTTCGCGCCGCGAATAAACTTCGCGTCAACGTGAAAATATAGAGTAAACGGGGGACAGATGAACGGGTTCGGAAATGGGGGCAGGAGTGTTTCGCAATTTTTCAGTAGGGTTAAGGGATCGAGACCAGGGTGAAACGCACATGGTCAATAATTTCGTCTTTTTTCTTTTGTCTCCACTATGTTTCCATTTATTTTGTATATGACAGCAGGTATGATCTGCCCCGTCTCTCTCGTAACGAGAGGGAAAAAAACGAAAAAAAAAAAATTAATACTTCCTCTTTGTCGTCGTACTGTCTAGTATCGCTGTGTGATTACAACTCGACACGCATTCGATATATGAAAAAGAAAAGAACAGAAAAAAAAAAGAGAGAAAAAAATTAATAGAAGGGAAGAGAAGAATCAAGTGAAACACGCCGCACAAGTTTCGCTGCTTTTTTTTTTGTGTGTATAGTAAGTTCGTTTTAAGTGACACGCTAGTCGCGGCCAAACGGACGCTGGTTGCGCGTGTTTTTTTTTTTTTTATTTATTAAGATCTCTGCCCTTAAGTTACGCTGGCCGCAGCCTTGAGGCTTAAGTAACCCTTTGTTTTTTTTTTTTTTCGAGAAAAAGAAATGTTTACAACTACGGACTATCGTGTGTTTCCTTCCATTGGTGATTCCTTCCGTTTCAGTGCTCGGCGAGTGCCACGCTCTCGGCGGTACGCGTTTAACAACGAATTCAGATTCATTCGGTTCGTGTGTGATTCTACGATGAAGAAAGCAAAAAATTGGATTCGAAGCGAGTGGGCGGTCCGATCCGATCGAATCCAGCGCTGGATGATCGTAAGCAAGAGAAGGGACGCCTGTAAAATCGCGTATGTCCTTTAGAAAAGTTAAAATCTGAAAACGGCGAGCGCACGATTACTTGCCGGATTGCCATTCGACCCTTCGCGGGCGCGCACTGATTGTACTTGTTCGTTCTCTTTTTGTTTCACCGGCCCACTTGTAACAGGTACAACACTCTCCCCACAGGATCTTCTCGCTAGGTTATCGAAGCAAGATCTTACAAAGCAATCGACGTGATCTTGCGTTCAATATCCTTGGCTTGGAAGTGTAACGAACTCGTTGAGTTAGCCCTCTAAAAACTCATTCATTCTGAGATACTTAACCTTGCTACACTCTGGTCCCAGATAGTGCTCAGACTCATAAATGACATCCTATTATAAGGTCCAGCGCAGTAAACAGACGAAAATATATTTCCCATTAAGACTAACTGAGACTATATTTGACCAGAGATGATCCCTACGGTCCACAAAGAGCTTCCACGCCTACTCTTCGCACGTTTCTATGAAGAAGATCGTTCAAATATGTCAAAGGTCCTTGGAATCATCAAGAACCAATTGGCACGAGTTCGCTATACTTTGTCCAGAGACTCTACTTTGATCTAACTATTACTGGCTACCGTCACAAGATGGTAACAATAGCAATGATGATTCGAAAAATAACAGACCCAACGTGATCTTACAGGGTGAATACTGTACGCAGAATAATCTGAACATCCTGTTCGGATCGGTGTGTCGCCGGTAAAGACAGATTCTGTCTCGTCTTGCCTCTTAATTCTACAATTAACAACGGTAAATAGCTACCGGTCGCTTGTTCCTGGATCAAAACGAGATCTACGGCTACAATTGTATTGTCGTTGGCGATATAAAGCACCTATGGTTAAACGCCTCGGTCACGGTAAAGCTTAATAATTCGAGGCCCATCTATCCCGGTCGCGTATCTCGAGGCGGAGATTAAGTACACTAAAGAAAACAAAAGACCGGGCGCGATCGGAAATGCTCTCGTATGCACCAGCAGGGGACGACCACTACCATTGAAACCATAATATAACCCAGCACGATCTCGACAATTAAAAACCTCGACCACGTGGACCGAATTCACTGTCGCGGAACAATTGGATCGACGTTGTCGCGGCGTATAATCGAAAAGGCGAATGAATGGTGTAAGAGTAAAATTTCGAAGCATCTTTTTCGCGCCGCGTTCGATCTCGTCACGGAGGAGGCTGACGAGGCCTCGAGGTCTTTCTTATCGCTATGTGTGTACGAAGTGAAGGCACAAGTTCGGGGGAAAAAATGTCGCGAAGATATGTCGCTAAAAGCTCGGCCCACTGGAGCTCCTGATAGATCCTTTCCTAACGTCAGAGGAGACTTTTATGTCCTGTTCACTTTTAATCGAACGGGTCGCTGGGACCGATCCTCTGCGATCATTTGAAATTCCAACCTCGACGCTGGTTCCTTTCGCGGGCAAAAGATCTTCCCTCGATTGATCTTGAGGATTTCTATTTTGTCTAAAGTTCTCTCTCCCCAGACCCGCTCCGTCGTTCGTCGATGCACGCGATTATTAAGGCACGAGCAGCGAGGGATTTATGATCCCCTCTCGACGGATCCCCGATTTCGTTATGTTTTACGAGGATCTAGAAGCTTCGCGAGAGCAAAACGTCGAACGCTGGAGGTTGAGAGAGATGGGGGAGAGTCCGTATCGGAGAACTTTCATACATCTTTCATGGGGCGTCGTTAGACGAACGAAATCGACGGGGTAAGAGGGACATGGTACTCTTCGTCACGAAATGGCGGTCTACGGAGACACCTGTCGGCGTTCACACGTACTTTTTCTTGTTGCCTTCGGTTAATCGAGTTGACGTGGGCAGTTTTGTGTCGGTGTTTATTTTTGTTGGTTTCTTTGAACCGTTCGACGATTTATTTATTCCGGGGAAGAAAGCGAGAATGTCGAATGATAGAACTGATTCAGACGAGTCGATCCTTCTTAGGGGTTGATATTTAAGCACGATTTCTTTTTGATATTATAGTGGACAAGATGTCTGTACAATGCAGTGGTTTCCAACCTGGGGTACGTGCCAGGTGTTTTAGGGGTACGCGAGAAAAATTGAAATCACAACAATTATATAAACGACAGACATTTTCCTAGTATATTATAGAGTACAATTTAGGGAACTTGGCTGCTAAGTGGTACGAAAGGCAAAAAAGATTGCGAACCGCTGGTCTAATGTACCTAATAAGACACTTCCAAGTAGTAAGTAACTTCCTTGCCATCTACTAGCTAAACAGTTACGTCTTCAAGTTCCAAACAACGAACGTAACATACAAAAATATTTCAGTGATCGTCCAATAAATGTCCTCTTGGCTAAAGTCTAATTCGATATGCAACTGTTACCGCAATATTCGAATCGACCAGAAGCAATGAAATTGATCGATCAGCACCTCGGATCACGTATCCCACGACTCGCGTAAAAGCCCAAACAGGAACGAGGATAAAAACCGGCCCGTCGTGGATATACCTAGATAAAACGCGGGGCTGGTGTCCATTTATTCCACGTCGGCGACATTATAGAAAACGACGCGTTTTATCGTTCCCGACGAGAGGATCGTTACGTAATGGCCGTGAGAAATGGCAGGAGACGGGAAATGGTAACGATCCAACGTGTCGTAGACTGGATTTGTTGCATCGAGGACCGTGCAGTTTCCCGAGTCTCCAATAGTCCTCAGGTGTTCACGCGCGCGATGGGATGCGGGAACTAGGTTAGCAGCAGCGAGGAGCAACGTGTAAACGCGCGCGTTTCGACGTTTGCTACGTAAGCAATCGACGTCAGCTAATAAGATCGAGTTCGCTCATAGACGTATAATAAAATAGACTGCACATTCGGTTGAAAGGCCGTCAAATATTAGAAAAAGGTAACCTGCTTTGGATTATGATGTAAGGATACAACGTATGCTCTCTTAATAGACACATTTTCATCCTCTACTGCGTTATTCAATTTTCCGCCATATAAAAATATAGCCGCTTAGAAAAATGAATTCGGAATTTCTTACTTGCAAGCGCACACCTTATATCCTTACATCATGCTTTGCACTCACATCACCACTTAGGTCACATTTACCTTCGTCCAACATTGATTCCTTTTCATTCCCCCTACTTCTCAGTTTTTCCGACAAAGAAAATTTCTTCGACGTACCACGTGTCGCAAAGACGAATTAGTCACCGTATAGTAGCTATCTCTGCCTAATTTTTGACACGGTCCGACTACGGGAGACATTGAAATCTAGATACGTCTATGAGTTTCCAACCCAAGAAGATCGTCCTGTCGTATCCTGCCCTGTGTCAGCTATTATTGGAACCCCTCTAGAATCAGGCAAGCTCACAATATGTAGAAAAATGTGACAGTTTCCACTTGTTTTGCCCCAGAGAATTTGCCCGCGAAAATATCCGCGACCCGATTTTTCTAGATTCGATACTATCGCTCTCGATGTTCGTCGAGGTTACGGGGCCAGTTTGCCCGGTGTTCGTTTGGTCTCACGCGATTATATTCTTCGTTCACGGAGCACCAGCGGCCGCGCGCCCTCGACGGGACCCCCGGTGTCCGCCGTTCGAGAAACGTCTAAGGGGACGCGTTTTACCCCGCCATTTTACTCCATCGCGGCTTCTTGGAGGGCGTGCAGATGAGCGTAGAGGCCGTCCGCCGCTATTAGATCGTCGTGAGTACCCATCTCCGCGACGGTTCCCTTCTCCAGCACGCAGATCACGTCCGCGTTCCTTATTGTGGCCAGACGGTGCGCTATGGTGATGCACGTTCGCCCCTCCATGGCTTTGTCCAGGGCCGCTTGCACGACCTGCGCGATAAACGGTGCGGAAAATTAGCTCGAATGTCTGTGTTCCCGTCTTTTTGAATGGGGGGGAAAACACTGATAGGGATATTTGTCTTTTCCCTTGGGCTTTCGGTTCATTCATTGTATGCTCTAAATAATGCATGGGTGGAGCGGAAAATTCAGATGATATGTTTTATCTGCTTGTAATGCTCTATAATTCAATTTTATTCGTGTTTAAATGTAGGGTGTCTACGGAATTGTTGTATGATCGGCGAGGTAGTAATTCTAAGCTGAAAAGTAAGTCAAGAAAAGAATAACAGTTTTTAATTTAACACGTTCCGTGCCACATGTACCACCGGTGGTACACGCAGCCTGAATGGGAAATTTAACGTGTACCATCGGTGGTGACATATGGCACGGAACGTCTTAATGTTGAACTGTAGTTTAAAACAAGACCAACACCCTCTATTAACAAAAGACACACATTTTCGGTAATTTATGACTTGAGGAACGAAATAAAGATTGTCTGGCTACGTACGGCCTTTTTCACTGTGGCACGGAACGCGTTAAGACTTCGTTTCCGAGATAATTTAATTTGAAGGTCTGATGGATTCGCGTGCAACGGAATAGGACTTGATTAGCGTGTCTGTTCATTGCATTCCGTTTCTACTTACTACTATGACAAATACACGCGTTTCAGATTAATTTTCAAAGTCGAGGTTTTTTTTTCTCGAAAACGAAACCTGAAACGAAAGAAATGTATTCTTTTGTTTTGATTTATTATTTCTTATAGAATCACACAGACCGCCTGTCCCTTCAGACTCGATAAAGAGAGTGGGAGCACAAACAGGGTTCGTAAGCAAACCGCGGAACAATAATTGCCGTGAAATTCGTTCGACGATCGAACGAGAAACAACAATCTAATATACCCGCCGTGTGCTTTCGATCACGACCGTCGATAATACTATTGCCCTGTGTGCTGTCGACGATTGTCACTGATTTTCGGAATCTGTGCATCAGCTGGAATGATCGAAAAATAAACCGTTGGACCGTAATAATTCTTTCGATACACGTTTCACGGGATGTCGACGCTGTCAAAAGAAACTAGCAACAGACAAATGTGTCTCGTCGTAGTGCTATGGGGTCATAACCCTATGTGGTCCCAATTATTTATGACTGCACATAAGACTGACTGGAACAAAATGTGATGTCCAGTTGGACTCGAGATAGGACCGTACAGAGTTAATTGAGATCTGGCTATTGGACAAATCGAGAAAAAATGCGTAATCCCCGCGTAACGTGACGTATAACCGCATACGAAGCCGGGATCCCGGGATTCGACCTCCGCAAACATATGAATTTTAATCCAAACGGAAATTACCATATAAAGTGTGACCGTTCCATTACGTAATGCGCGACGCGACCTGCCAGCTATGATATCTTTTTTTCGTCGTGTTCGGTGGAGCGCGAGTGCCCTTTTTGCTCGTGTTGTTCATTAAAATCCATCAGGCCCTATTAATATTCATCAGCGAGCGCGTACGCAACAGTAACCGCTAGTTTACATTGCCGTTACCGCGTCGCTGTTATTCAAAACCGAGTGTCCTAATATTCATCGTTTAAAGCAACAAAATATTTTCCCATACCACCGTTGTCAGACACGTTTCGCCAGGAAAATAAATATCTCTGTGTACAGCAGGCCATACACGATGAGGTTTACCTCGAGGCCTGGCCTCGTGAGGTCGTCTCACGTTAGGAGAGCTGGGTCTCTCGAAGCCTCCTTGTAATCTGTAGCGGGATAGCAATGTAAAGACTAGTAATAACTAGTGATAATAAAGTAAAAACTACTGATAACAAAGTAAAAGCTAGCGATACCGAAGTCAGAACTAGTCATAACTAGTGATAACAAAGTAAAAACTCGTGATAACTAGTGATGACAAAGTAAGACAAGTGATAATGAAGTAGAAACTAGTGATACCGAAGTAATAACTAGTGATACTAAAGTACTAACTAGTATAATTAGAAGTATTACTTTACAAAATTTTACTACTCATTTTCATAAACGATACCAGACGACTGTATCCGAATGACAATATCGACATGAGGCCAGGCTTCGAGGTAAACCTCACCGTGTATAACCTGCTTATAGTCGAGAATTATTATGATTCGAATCATTTTGTTGTTGTCCCGTCATGTACGTACTGTACCGCCAGTTACACGACACCCTGCATAAACAAATAATCTTTTTCCGACTCGACTTTCTAGGAACTAATTCTCATAACTCCATATTTGTATGTTTACATCTGCAGTCTCCGAATTATAAAAAAAACACGATAAGACATCGTTTTATGTAATTCAAATTTCCCCACCACCAGCTCTAGTAGAATCACAAACAATAATTAAGTGTCCACTGCTCATTCAAGATCCCACGTCTCTCCCATCGTTTGAACGACGATCACCCAGCCAGAATCTGAATCCTTCCGATAAACACTTTACATCCACGAGCCGTGAATCGAACGGTCCATAAATAAAACGATCGGGACAAAAGTCACGTCTTTCAAAAGGGAACAGAAAATCTGTAACGCGTCTCCGTGGACGAGAACCCGCGGAACGATCGCAAATCGACACGAAAGCGACGCTCTATCGGGCACTCGAGGGTATTGCGGCAGCGTGGCGGTCGATTCGCATTTTCCGAGGCCATTAACTCGATTGACCGTTCGGAGCCCCACGAGGACGATAACGAGCGCGGGCCCTCCTAAGGACTTTCAATTCAATCCAATCGTGCCTCGTCGATCGGCGTTAAGCGGCGACGACGCGCAATGTTATCGTCGCCTCGAGGAGTTTTGTCTCTCTCCCCGACACTTGCACGGTGCATTATGAGACCGTTAATTGTTACCGGGTGTAACACAATGCCGTGGTAAGCTGGAATGCGCCGGTTTTGTTCTCGTGAGAATTCCTTCGCCTCTCGAGGGCCTGCGGTCATTTCTTTGCCTCCTCCGACCCCCTGCCCCCTGTCCAATGTCTTAGTGTCAGCTTTTAGGAAAGAGACTTTTTTGTGCGTTATACGGGGTGTCCAGTTATTAAAAAAAAAAAAGAATTGGGGGAAACTATCCAATGTTTGAAAAATGATTCAGGCGAGAAGTAAATGGTTACAAGAGGAACATAATCTGGTATAATTAATTTGTTTTGAAGAAGGCCAAATAGAGGTCATATGAATGTTTTTAAAATAGTTTTAAATACAGTGATCGATCTGTCTTGGTATTCCCTACGATAAAGTGCTAACCTATTTAATGTCGACGAATCATTAGTTTAAAAGATATTTTTATTTGAATATTGCAAAGTGATACTAGTAAGTACATAGGCTTGCACCTTTCCTGAAATGACGATCATTTTGCACTGCATTCTTGAATGAGTGAATACTTCTGTCACTCTGTCCTTTAAAAAGTTAATGATGTTAAATAATTATTTGCAAAATGTCCAGTCATTCAAGAAGAAATATTATTTTATTTTAAACATTAGTAATCCATTAACACTAGAAGTACCGAAGATGACCGTGTTTCTACTTCTATCACATTGGTAAAAGGGACTGGAGTATAAACATAATAATTCGTAAAAGAATCGTTAAAAATATACAAATCGATAAATTATCGAACTTCTTCACTTATATGTTTCAATAAAAATTGCGAAGAATCTTTAAAAAAGGCACTACTGTGACATTTTCATTATTTTTATACGAGTTTACGAACCAGTTGTGCTCACTAACCAAGACTGCTTTGGTAGTTTTGTTGTTAAAAGTAAGTTTTTAAATAATAACGAAATATAATTTTAGTTAAACATTGTTTTCCTGCGACTTGTATTTTGCTTATCTGCATGAAAAATCATATGTGCAATGCAAGACCTGAAAACAGTGAGGTAACTAAACAGCGTATCGTGATTGCTGCCAGCCAACATTATGGTAGTGTATAATCGCAACACGGCTGACGCTGCCGTAGCGAAAGGGTTGAGTCAGCTCTGTTTTTAATGAGTCGAACCCTAAACAAAACGCCACATACGACCCTATATTTCGGAGTATCATGGCAAGCCGTTTGATGAGGGTCAACTTTACGAGCCATACTTACAAGACCTACAGCAAACAACAATCCCCATGATCAGGGCTCGACAGATCCGGTCGCCCGGTCAAAATTAGATTTTTTCATCTGACGACTAAAAACTACATCTTTCTTAAATTCAACCCTTAAAAACTTAATATGCTTGTATTTCGACAATGAGTAGATAAGGTAAAGTATTATAAAAAATTACGTCTTTAAGGAGAGCGAGTACCATTTTTGTCTGGCGAGTACGTATCGTCACGATTTGTCGAGCCCTGCCCATGATAGAGGGCTGTTGTAACTATCTCTCTAAAGGAAACGCACAAAGAACACGTCGGAGGAAGGTTTCGAGGCCCAAGGGACAATCCTTTTTATGTTAGATTGATGATGGTCTGGTTTTTACCAGAATAATTGCAAAAAGACCCTTGACGGAACGAAATCACGCGAATCATGAGAAGGTGTGAAATGACAGAGGCGCTCGAGACACTCGACGCCGCGTAACAGGTGCTTCGTTATTTTCTTCAGGTGAGAGGAAGCAGTCCTTACCTTCTCGCTTTGAGTGTCAAGCGCGGAAGTGGCTTCGTCCAGGAGCAGGACTCGAGGATTCCTGACCAGAGCACGCGCTATCGCTATACGCTGCTTCTGTCCACCGGAGAGCTGCGTTCCTTTAGACCCTAACCTAGTATCGTACCCCTGTAACCAGAGAATGCGAGCGCTGTTTGTATATCATTGAATACTCGAAATGTAACGAAATGGTCATCGTTAGTGCATATGTACATTTACATATTTTCTACCATCATTTATTTTTGTTTTGTTAGACTTACTCGTTTTTTGCGTTTATGATTAGTGCTAAACTGATTTCTTGAGCAAAATTAAGCAAAGAATTGAAATGTTTGGAAAAAATGTGGTGGTCATCGCACGAAGTTGGATTTTCAAAAGCAACGATCCTGAAACTTTATCCAAGCCACACACTTCTGACTATCATTGGGATTTACTATAAGTGGAAACGGTAAGAAATTATCAGACACGTCAGCGAACTCGAGAGTACAGTGTGTCTCAGGTTATTATACATAAAAAAAAAATCAAAAATGTGGAATGAAATTTTTTCCTATGCTGCTTTGTTTCCAAGATAATCGAATTTGAATATCTACTGGAGACGTGTACAATTGAATAGGAGTTGGTTAACACGTCTGATCATCACATTCCGTTTCTACTTAATGTCAGCACGAATATACGCATACTTGATAAAATTTTCAAGTTGGTTAAACAAAATTTATCCTCCTTTTTATGCATTTATGATATACTGGACTGTCTGAAATTCAGTACATTCAGAACTTCAACAAATATTAATATTATTTTAATTTTCTTAGACTTCATAGAACCTTCATACCTGTAAATAATTCTTTATATACCGATATTCGCATAAAGATCCGCAATCTACTTATGATCCATTTAATCCCCATGATCCATAGGACCAATAAGGTAGGCCAGATTCACGCTAGCGATCAAAGGCACGGTCAGATCACGATCAATCTGAATTTAGCCCATACTTCTCTCATTAAATTGCATGTTAGCGACAAAGATCGCTGCCGGATTTGACGTGATCCGACCGTACCGTGACCGCTTCTGTGAATCTGGCAAATCTTATCGAATCAAAAATATTCTACGCACTAGTGGTAGAGAGCTGACGAAGCTGTGGATGTTCGACTTCTTTGCGGCCTCGATGATCTCATCCATCGACACCTTCCGGTAGTTGTCGCCGTACGCGATGTTCTCCGCGATCGTTCTGTCGAAGAGTACCGGTTCCTGGCCGACCACCCCGAGCTGGCTTCGAAGGTTTCGCAACGAGACCGATGAGATGTCACGGCGGTCCAACGTCACCGTGCCAGAAATCGGGTCGTACAATCGTTGCAACAGCTGGATGCAGGTGGACTTGCCGCATCCACTTTGACCGACCAGCGCGACCATCTGACCCGGTTTCACGATTAGATTCAAACCCTGTAGAATCGGCATCTCCGCTCGAGTCGGATAATGGAACTCCGCTTTCGAGAATTGAATCAGACCTTCCGCTTTCTGAAATCATAAACGTTTACGGTCCTGAGTATGGCCACCTTCTAATTCGAAAGGCAAACTGAACTAGACACTAAGGGAACAGGATTAATTCAACCAAGTGCACACATTGTGGACGTTAAACGATTGAGTTTGTTTATTGGTATGGTAGATCGAGGCAAATCGGATCAAAATAAGGAATTGAGGCCACGTTGAATAATTGTTTTTATTGGTACTCAAAGTTCAGCCCGTTGGTAAATATTAATCATTATTAATCGTTTTGGTCCGATTCGCTTCTGTCTATTGTAGATAGAGTATGACCAAATTTTAAGACGCTTGTGGGCCCTGGAGGAAGGTATACAGTAGTCCCTAAATAACCCTCTGAGGGTCGCGATTGATCTGACAGATACACGCAAAAGATGACTTCGAACATGAATGTGTAGATAAAAATGATAAAGATTTCTAGCGAGGAGACCGAAGATGAAAACAAAGATATCGAGTGTTTCTGTTTTTTGGTAAATCTAGTTCAAAATGAAGAAAAACACCCATTTCAAGTATTGTATCTCTTGGATACACCGCGATCTCCAGAGAATTAATAGACATAGGGACTCTATTCATTCCATTTTCATTTCATTGCACGTCATCAACAAATTATTTTCAACCGTCTGAAAGATAAAACCGAATTACAGAAAAAATATTACTGCGTACAAGTTCCTTATCGTTCAGTCTGGATCAATTAAACTTCTGTATATTATTTGCGTGTAAATTTAATCTTATCGTTTCGTAATTCCATGTTTACCATTAATTTCATTCTCCATAATACTTTATAAACGGATTCATGATGCATGGAAGTTCGAATGAAAAATAATTTATCCTTGACGCAAGTAACAGGAGACCTGTTAATCGAATGAACGATATTTTAGCTGTGAAACGCGTTGCAGAAATGGCATTTCGAGTGTCTGCGTAGCGAGCTGGAAACGTCGTTCACTCGTATCGCTTCATTAAACGCTTTGGAATTTTGCGATGAAGGGAGGGAGGGAAGGCGGTGGTTGCACTCCCGATCACACACACAGCTCCCCCCCCCGGTTTGGAGCGCAATTAACACGTGTTGCCCCGAGGCTTTGCTGTCGGAACGTCATAAATTCGATAGTTTGCTAAATAGTCGTAATGTAACGGCCCAGCGGCCCGTGGTTTCCGGGGAATTGAACGACCCCCGCTATGTCTGTTCGATAGTTCACGATGCCGCGTGAAAAAAACCGATCGAGAAGTTATTCGTGAAACGCGCTAGAATATACAGGATGCTTCGGAATAAAAAATGTTCACGGTTGTACGAAAGTAACTTTTCTAGAGAAACCCAACGGGGGCGTGCAAAATTACAGTACCATACCATGGAGAACAACTAATTCTTTGAGCTGTGAATATTTTTCTGTTAATTCGTCATATGAAATGAGCATTTTTTTCAGACAATAATTTATATTTTTTTAACGAAATTAACGAATGCACTTCTATCAGTGTAGTAGACTCGGTTGATCACCAATTGTCATGTATAAATCGGTGAAATAAAACCATCTAAGAACGTATCCACTCACCCAATCCAGATCTTTATCTTCCGAGCCCGGTGGCGAGGTGATCTCCGGAACCCTGTCCAGAAGCTGGAATATTCTTCCAGCAGAGATCTTGGCAGTATTGAAGTTGGGCGCGAACGCTAGCGCCTGTCCCAACATCCACGAGCCGAAGATCAACGCCTCGGACACTTTGATCACATCCTGGTAGCTCAAGCCTTCGGTGGCTACCAGGGACCCGCCGTAATAGAGACTCAACGCGTATCCAAAGAACGGTGTGGTCTGACCGCAAGAGAACACCAATCCTCTGAGTCTGTTTCTGATCCTGGTCGCCTTGGCGACATGGTCCAGCTCGACGCAATAACGCGCGAAAAAGGCTTCCTCTTTCCCAAGGCTGGCCACCGTTCTTATATTGGAGATAGCCTCGATGGCGATCCTCGTGGCCGCCTCCATCTTCTTCTTCTCTTGCAAGCCCTGCCCGCTCATCACTCTGGCCTCGAAGAACACTGCACCCAGCACCAACGGTATCGAGACCACGGAGACCAACGTCATCTTCCAGGTGTAATACATGGACAGCCCGATACCCAGGACCAGTGTCGATAACGCCTGAAGAATAGCACCGACACGCGTCCCCGTAGCACCCTGGACAGCACCGGCGTCCGAGGACAACCTAGCGCACAATGCACCCACGCTGTGCGTGTCCTCGTCGTACCAGCCCATTTCTTGCCTCAGCATCGCTGCGAATGCCATCCTCCTGATCCTCGTGGTCATACGCACACCGGCCAAACCGAACATGTACATTTGGAGGAAACTGCCCACACCGGTGACTATCCCGACAATCAGGAACATGATCGAGAAGTTGACCGTCTCGCGACGCACCTCGTCTTCGTCCTCCAGACCGAGTACGTAGTAGACCTCGCCGAAGAGAACAGCGAACGCTGGGAACGAAGCGCCGACCATTGCTGCAGCTAGACACCCTGGAACATGAGAAGTCGAGAGGTTGATGAATAGAAGATTGCGGGCTATGACAGTTTTGACGTGATTTTACTGACGAATGGGAAATCGTACTTATGCATTTTGGAGTATTTTGTATGAGTATATACTGGCGTAATTATTATATTTAGTTGTTGCAAAATAGGGGTAGTTTAGCGATTAAATCGTATTTCGACTGGAATTCTTCATATTAAGATCAATTGCGATCATTGGAAGTTTTAAAGCCCGAATGCTGTTTACTATTATGGAGAATTAGGAGGTCTAATACTAATTATGAATTTCCAGTATTCTGAAGGCAATGTGTATTCAATATTACCGATATCTTTGTAATAGATTTTCAAGTGTCACATTTTGATGAATGCCTTAGTACTCATAAAGTTGAATATATGTCTGGTTCCAACACATCATCAATATCAGTGGGACATTTGATTTCTGATGAACCTGGCAATAATGCTGATAAAACGATGAGATAGATAGTTTTTTTTTTCTCCAAAAGTGACACGTCGGGACATTGCTAACAACGATTAATGAGTCCGTTGATTATGACAAATGATCAAAGTTAGAGGAATTTTATTCCAGATTACGCAATGTGTAACCGCGAGAATGATTAATGGTAACGAACGGGACGGCCACTTTTTTCCACGATAAACGTGTAACGACGGGCAAACGAACGGACAAACGATTCAATTGCAACATTGTACTGCACGCTAACCGACTATATTGAAAGGCCATTCCGGTTTGTTGAGCCCGAATATCCTCATCATCGGTGCGTCGTACGGCTTCTCGTGTTCCTCCAATTGATTCTCGGAAGTCTCCGACGCGCCAGCCAGGGACAGACGATGAGAGTGCATCGACAGAGTTGAGAATTGTCGCTTGAGCTGCGGCTTCTGCTTTGGTATGGCTGCCGTGACCGTCTTTGCCGCTGACGCTGTTGCTTTCGCTAATTTGACAAGAACGAAACGCATATCACAGTGACGGTTCCCCATGTACAGGACGTTATATTATTTTTTTGCAGTTTGTAACTTTTATTACGGACTTTAACATTAACTTGAATCACACGAATAAACAAGGTATCTTTGGTAACTAGAAATAGAAGAATTGAAGACTAGTTATACTGAAATCTTAAAACTGACCGATACATATCGTTACAGACGAAGTTCCTGACCACTTAAAAGTAACTATCGCAATCTTTGTAACGTATATGTAGAAAAATTAACCAAATCCAAAAGAATCGTTGTTATTAGAGTAAATCTATGTAAGGATCTTGAATTGGTATTAACAAAGGTCCAGAAATAATAATTAAATTATAATTTACCTGTTAAAATAAGAAACGCAAAGGGAGCAATTTCTGATCACATAAATCATACATACATCTATATCTCACTCTGAGCTATCAAATTTTGACTGGTAAATTTCAAAATAGGTAATAATTATTCAGTAATTTTTTTGGCAAAAAAACCTTTTACCATAAGAAACTTATTATATGGTATTTATACACTAAACGTATCAGGAATTTAAGTCTGAGCTCCTCCACTCGAATTCCTAACTCGGTCCGTAAAGCAAGACTTCTCAAAAAAATCGAAACAATACACAAAGAATACCATTCTCTGACTTGAATAAAAAATTATCCAACTGAATTTTCAAAGGGAGAAAAATGTTCGCTCACCTCTCGCGGTGGCGCTGGCATCTGCAGAAACCAAACCATAGTAGTGTTTCCCAAGAGCCAACAGCTCCTCGTGCGTGCCCTGCTCGACTACTTGTCCCTCTTTAATAAATACTATTCTGTCGGCGTTTGTGATCGTGGACAGTCGGTGGGTGACGACAATGGTCGTTCTGCCCTTTGACGCGGCGTCCAGTGCTCTTTGCACTGTCGCCTCGCTGTGAAGGTCCAAAGCAGAGGTGGCTTCGTCCAGGAGAAGTATGGCAGGCCTTCTAACCAGGGCTCGCGCGATGGCAATTCTCTGTTTCTGACCACCGGAAAGCTGCGATCCTCTTTCACCTACGGGGCTGTCATAACCCTGAAACAAAGCTCCACATTAATAATTTCTTTGATCTGTTTAAACAGGAAATCCTGAAACGTCCTCGACGATATCGTTTCAAATATTCTATTATAGAAGCACAAATGGAATTCCGCAAATACAATTATAAGACACTCAAATTTATCGATAATTATCGGCAGACGAGCGACCACTGCCATTTGCACGTTCAATTGGCACACAGGGAAGAGGCCATCGAGGTCTCTGCGGTTTCAAATAACGATTACTTGATTAACGGAGGGACCTGTCGCGTCTACGCTGCATATATGCATCGTGGAGATTTAATAAATTTAGGAGGAAGAGCACTTTGCGCTGCATCGATGTATCTAATACCGTTTAATGCTCTGCCTCTCTGCACTCGTCAGTAGTACGTTACGATCGACTGTAACGAAATTTCGACATTCTCTTTCGTAATTATTATCCTCTATTACATTTTAATCTCTACTATTTAACCCTCGGATTACCGACCGTTCGGCGGTTCCGCAATGGGGAGACTCGTGATGGCTCATATTTCGTACCACCTAAGTATATGATTCTTTGCTTAGAAAAACTGATATTTCCAACTTTAGCCATAAATAAACAAAATATGTGCGAATGAAACAATATATTGATGGTTTTCTTTTAGACACTCTGAAATAAAAATCACATAAATAAAAAAAATTGAAACTAAACCTGATTTTATATTATTATCTAAACTCCAACACCTCTTCTGGTAAAAACAGAAATTAAATCTGTATTTCCGAACCAGGCGAATATGTCTTCTAAGTAATTTTAGGGGGGTGATCATCAAACTCTAATTATTATATAGCCGTCACACTAGCATAGCCTCTTAATCGCGATTCGATCGGCATGCACGCGAACGAAACACGATTCCCAACGTTCGCATAAACTTTCACGAGCGTGATCGGCGTCGTTTCGTGAACCAAACGGTCGAACGGTTCTCCATAAACTGGAAAACTGTCCGGTTCAGTTGTTCCCGCAGCCCTAAACGCGTCACGGGATACGGACAGCCGCTAAACACACCGGTGGGCCCGATGAAACCATCGCGGATATCGCCTCCAACCCCCGCTGATAATTCGGTAATAAACGCCTAATCGCTGACGCGGCCGTAATCCGGTGGATACTGTTATTTTCTCGCGAACGTTTTAACGGGTTGTTTACCCTGTTTGCCCGCGTGTCCCGTGGATCGGCGGTCGCACCTGAGACTATTGTTAACTAGCCGCGTACAGCGGTGATGATCCACGTTTATCCGAACGGACATTCGTGAACAAGCGTTTGCGATCAAATGTTTCGATTAAGTAACGGTGAAATTAACGATGATGACTGGACTCGATTATTTAACGATGGACCCATTGAGCAAGTCGAAATAATTTGTCAGTTATGCATTTATAACACTCCTTAACTTGGAAAATGCAACGAAATCAAGATTTTAATGAAGATTAATACTATTGATATGTTATTGCTAACGCAGTAAAGGTTGTAGTACCGAATTTGAGATATTGTATCATTTTAATTTTTAAATATTCGTACCTAATATTGCGAATTTGCATAAATTTCCGCAGTCCAGTTTGGAGAATACAATTTCGCCGATCTTTTTCAAGTTTTATTATGATATGAAAGTGAAGGAATTAGTTGATTTATACGTTTGTCAATTCTGTAAAATTTGACATATTATCGTTGGTAGTTCTAGTGTTGAAGGCTCCATCTAACTCATCAACCTACAGATCGTATTTAACCTAGGAGTTGTCCATATTAAGTCATACAAAAAAGTAGGTTATTCTGGATGACTGCGTTGGGAAACAATATTTAAAAACTAGGAAGTTCATATTAGGGGTGCCTAATATTTTTGATCAATACTGTATTAGGGGTCCAAACGGACCCAAGCACCGCTGCTGTATGACCAGTAAAACCGTCCGTTGTTCGAGGGTTAAAGAGCAGATTTATTATCCCAGGACCATTAAATACAAACCAATCATCAAAGTATTACTACATATTATTTATTCTTAGTCCAACGTTGTAATACCACATTATTGTTATATCAATAAAATAAATTATTTCCAAAAGGAAGAAGAACTTGTTAAAAAATATATTCCGTCCGTCGGAGGATTAAAGTGAAACTACATTAGACCTGATTCTCGGAAAGAATCGATCAACCACAGTCGATGATTGACGAAACGAACGCTACATTTCAAGCAATAAGGGTCCTGGGATTAAAATTCGACGTATAGATTCACGGTCCATGGGCACAATTTTAATTAGTCGGCCCTTCGTCTCCTGTTCGCAGAGATTCCGTGATCTATCGGAAAAGAGGAGAATGAGTAGAACGAGTCGAAAAAACTTTCTATCGTATTACGTGCGTACGTTCAAACGGCGAGTGTTCCTCCTCCCTCTATCTCGAAAAGTGACCGAATCAATCGGGGACCGTCTGTCGCGACGGAAGTTGCAGAAGGACGGAAGAAAAATTTCGCTCAGTCGGCGAACGGGAACGGAATAAGAGAAAAGGGTTCCGGACACACTCACCTCGGGCAGTTTGCTGATGAAGTCGTGAGCGTTCGCTTCCTTCGCGGCTTTGATCATCTCCTCCTCGGTAACGCTGTCATTTCCGTACCGGATATTCTCCCGTATCGTTGTGTCAAAGAGCACTGGCTCCTGCCCGACCACGCCTATGTATGAACGGAGCCACTGAACGTTCAGCTTCGATATGTCCACGCCGTCCAGGAGGACCTGCACGAGGAAATGGAGCAAAGGAGAAATGAAAGAATTGTCTTTGACGGTCGCACGATGCTTACACTTCAGGATCTCTCGGCGTTTACGCTTCTTTTCAATACGATCGTCGGTATATTCCACGGTAATCGAGTGTTTACGATAGTGTTGGGACTAATATCGTATTTATGCTAACAATACCTGGCCGTAAATTTTGATCAGATAGTATGAAAAACGTAGATTCACATTCAAATATTGTTTTAGTTAAATTATTCCCTACTAATTTAACTTTTCAACATCAAATTCATATTATGTAGGTTTCAAAAAGACTCGATAATTATACGAAAGTTTGGATATCTGTTTAGTACTTCGACGAAAATATCGGTACCAACTTGATACTTCTATGAAAGTATCAGTCGATATTTGATACTTGAGAAGAATATTGGTACTGCTATAGCAACTATACTGTTGTTCACGGTATCGACGATTACTAAATAGACAATAGAATTGGTATCGATTGGTATCGCTTCGTGAGACATCAGCATTGAAAGTTAATACCAAGTATCCCAGATTTTGATGCCTTTCGATATTTCCCACTAAGTACTTAGGTATCAAATTGTTTGAGTATCATCGTATCAGTCCCATCTATCATCCATTGTCTTATTAGCATTAAGACACTTATCAAACGTGAAAGAAACTTGAAAAACCAATTATGGGATTTAACACATGTTGTCCAGAGAATATTAAAATTCACCAATCAATAAATATCGCAATCGATAGTAATAATAATAACAGGAACCATTACGTTTTCCGTAGTGAAAACAAATGTCGTAATATGTATGAACAGAGATGTGAATCATTAGACGACGCCTTCTGTTTTGCGTGGTATATAAACTAACATATTGTTGGTAAAATTTCATACATCAACTTTGAAGTATTAAAATCGTGGTAAAAAAAATAAAGAGAAAGGTGCACGGGAACAATCTGATCGCTCATTTCCACGCAAAACCAAAATACAGCAAAGCTCTTAAGTTATGGCGTTCATCCGTCCGATCAAAGGCTCTCCTCCCCTCCACGCGAAACTTCCACGATATCCGCGTACAACGCGTAAGGATCTTCGTAAGACCTCCATCCTCCTCCATCTTTTTTTCCCCACCCTCGATACAATTCGCAGACGCGGTGGCAGATCCCGCGGAGAATTTTCAGAAGCAACCGTATCTCCACGGGAATACGAAGGGCATGCAAACGGAATCCGAGTGGCCTCGTCGAGCTAACGAATTTTCCACGGGTATCCTTTTTATCGGTGGCAGCGCAACGACGACGTGGAAAATGTAAATGCGGCACGTAAGGGCTTGCGCCCGGTTCCGAAATCAGTATATGTACCGAATATATAGAGCGTAATATTTTTCGGGTACGGTGGAGACTGCGACGGATGCAGAACCGCCCCTCGGAATCGTAAAACTTTATACTGCCGAGAAAACTAGCCGGGGCCTGCGCTGTTATACCAGCGAGAAACTCTGCGAACTTGTTCCGTAAAAATCCACCCCCATCCCCCCTCTGTCGCGTAGCTGATACACAGATGTAATAATGGAACATTCGCGCCCGGGATATTGTTAAGCCCCGCGAGTCTAATAAATAAATTCTGAATTTACGGTCGAACCGACGAACAGCGTCGTAATTTAATCGTACGGAAAAAAAAAATGGCGGATCGGGGTGAATCTCGTTCGTCTCGTTGGACCGCTCGTAAATCTTCTATCTCATGCTCACGTCGGTTAGGATTGTGACCATCGTCCTTGTGGAGAACGTGCATCGGGGGAAGATCGAGGGGAAATCAGGACGACGTGGAAGATCGGACTGATACGGCATGTATTAATGGTACTCAAACAATTCGATGGATAAGGGTCACGTCGACTAACTTCGATCGAATTTTAAACAACGATTAACATAGTTAACTGTGTAGTCAACAGCAGAACTTATGTATATAAGCAGAACTTATGTTAATATTATGTATTTTTTTCATATCTACGAGTGTATAATAGTTTTTCTAGATTATACAATATCTTGTATAGATGGTGTGACAAAAATTTGAATGTGCATTTAGACACTTATCGGTAAAATAAGATGTCATTGGTCATTTCATTTGTCTCTTTCATTTGATGAAAGATCAAGTGGCTGGAATTGCTAGTACAATAGAAACTTACAAAACTAATTTCTTTCGAATATTTGAAGAGGGTTAATCGGTCAAAGATTAAAAGAGATGGATTTTATTATGTATAATAACTAGACTGCGGATTTTATGCATTTATACCCTATGGGGCTTTGTGAAATACACTAAAAGAAAATAGTATCATCAGATTCAACGTAGTTTCTATTTTATTCTTAATCCAATAAGATATTTAACAGAAGAAAAAAATTCCTACTTATGCATATGTCTTTATGAATAATTTTATAAAATGTTATTTTGCATAAAAATCCGCAGTCTAATAATGACATTATAATGGAAATGATTACATACAACTGTGATAAAGGTAAGAAGAGTCGTCAAATGGCGACGAGACATGTAATATATTCAAAAAAACCACAAAATGTTTCTTTGGTAATTTTTAAATAATTTGGGAATGCAAGGGTTAACTACGTCATTCTTACTCTAATGTCGTAATTTTTTAAAATTAATAAAGAGTAATAGAACGCTGGCGCTTTAATAAGAGGCAAGCACGTTTTGAATTTCAACACCCGTCCCGCGGGCCATTAAGAATTACGTCCAAGAGAATTTAGGAACTAGATCCCCTTCCGTTTTAAAGAGCTACGTGTTTCAAACTTTTCCGACAATGAACATGGAAACTGCACGGTTTATGGGTTCGTGTTTGTAGGTTTTACGATGTTTCTTTGGGATTATACTTACGTGTCCTTTAATGGGATCATAGAGACGCTGTATGAGCTGCAGACAGGTGGATTTTCCGCAGCCGGATCCGCCGACCAGCGCCACCGTTTCCCCGTGATTGATCTTGAGATTCAAGCCTTGCAGCACCTTGACGTCCTTTCTAGCGGGATACTGGAAGTGCACGTTAATGAACTCGATCTCGCCGTTGACGGATGGCAGCCTCTGGCCCTCTTTACTGAGGCTGTCGATATCCGGCCGGCGATCGAGCACCTGAAAAATGGCCGCGGCCGAACCCCTCGCGACCGCGAACGCCTCGAGATGCGGCGATGTCAGACCCATGTTCTGAGCACCAGCCAGCACACCGAAGAACACGATTACTAGTACCGCGGGCGTGTACTCCTTCTCCTCTTTCGGTCTATCCTCCAGGATCAGCTGGACACCGTACCTGTGATCAGAAGAAAATTTGGATTTCGGATCTAATTGGTTCTGGAAGTTGGCAGAAGAAATGTGATAGAGCAACATAGGTGTATTCTAAGGCTATGGTAAGATTTTATGCTTGGTAAGAAATGGTTTTTAGAGTTTTCTCTTGCAGTGAACTATAGTCGGATATGTTTTCAAGTCGAAAACTAACATGATTGAAGACTAGAGATTTTTTCTAGAACTAGGTAGATGTTATTGTGCCAATTATTTATGTGGCAAGAATCCGAAACAGCTCATTCTAGGTGTCCTGGTATCGTCATATACTATAGTTATCAATTAAGTTTTCTTATACCGATTTGAGATAGACTTTTTATGTATCGATTTTTGAAGTAACTGTACTTTTGAAACAACTGTAGTTGGGTACTGAAGTTCGAATTATTTGAAATGACTCTTGGATAAAGCATCTGGATCTTCTTGGAATGATGAGTTGGAACGGATAGGTGCACTGAAAGGAGGATAAGATTTTATAATTAAATATGTAGGAATATAATGTGTTTTTGTCACCCTCTTAAACATTTCAAAAACCCTTCCTCTTTTATAGAACCTCCTGAACTTATCAGCTTTTTTACCTATTAATAATTATGTTCTCAAATAATCACTCTTAACAAATTTACTGCCACGGTGGTCTCCAGTGACCGGAGCCATTAAATTACACGAAGAAATATTAAATTTCCAATCAGTAGCAGTTACCATCTCGTAAATATAACTAGTAATAAAGTAATAATGAAAGTAATGGGTGTCCAAGTCAACATGCAAATACAGGACCGAATGTATTTTAATATAATACTGTCCCAACAGTAGAAACTATAGCAGTCAAACTATTAAATTATAATTTAACTTCGTGAACTTATCAAATTATTCCCCTATTTCACTTGGACTTGCAAGGTTATTTCTCTATACACCTACTTTCAAATAGACTTATATTTTTAGACTCGACAGGTTGTTCCTCTTTTCAACCATGTCATGTATGAAAATACTACTTTACGCCACTAAATGGCACAAAAATCACAAAAACAACCACCTCATCATGTTTCTCCTCCGTGGTCTTCACGTTACAAACCATTCTCTAAGAAAAAAATACCATGACAGACGTCGTACCAGAAGGCAACAGCGTAGCTGATGTATATGATGAACCACATGACGCCACTTCCCACGCCGGACCACATTCCACGTCTTGTGCCGGTCCTCTCCGCGGGTACCAGCTTTTCCGCGTATCTGTCGACCTCCTTCTGCTCGCCGTTGAAGGCGACCACGGTCCTAATGGCGCCCAGCACCTCCTCCGCGACGGTTCCGGCCTTGCCGTACGCGTTCAATTCCTGCGCGGTCAAGGAACTCTGCACCTTCGCCACCACGGCGGTCGCGATCACGATAATCGGGGCGCAGCTGAGCACCACAAGCGTCAACTTCCATCCGTAAATGAAGGATATTATGATGGAAGATACGAAGGAGACCAGCAGGTACGTGAACACGCCGAGCTTCTCGCCGATACCGTCCTTCATCTTGTCCAGGTCCCTGGAAAAGGAGAAGAAAAGTGGAACTGTGAGAACAGGTCACCGTTGCGTACCGAATTGGATAATTCATTTTTTCCCTCGCAACGTTATGGACCCTTGGAATATTAGTAATTGCAGCACTTTCTCTTCGTTCCTACTACCAAATATTATTTTCAACGCTAAAACATAAGTTGAAATCACGCTGGAGTTTCGACACCATGACTCAAGCTCAAAAGGGGATACGGCTATTCCACCAACTTCTCTAATATAAAAAGACAAGCTATATCGCAGTGTCCGTTTTTACAACTGCATATTCCGAATCTTCTAACTATTGTCATGAAATTGTAATTGTTGAGAAATGTTGTTTGAATGTTTGTGTTGCGATTCACCTGCAATTTCATCGAACCTCCTCATAACAACGTCGAGGCCTCGTTCAGGCCTTCTGCCGTTTTATATACGTCCACGGACGCAATTAGAACCGTTCGTATGACTTCCCGCGGCGGCTCTATCGAAAGTTGTTCCGGACGAAAATAACACGGGCCGCGGGCAGCCATTCAGCGGATTAATTAATGTTTGCGTTATCTTCTGTGGTCGCTCTCGGGTCACCTTGAAATCACGCGACGATCTTCGAATAGAAACCGTGTTCGATTTTAGTAAAGATTCGATGGTTGCTTCTTGATTTAAGCTCAAAACGGGAGACGCGTTTTTCTGTGACGCTTATTGCATAATGTAAACCAGATAGGTGTGCACGTCAAGCAGCTCCTTGTTTGACGTAACAAACTATTCCCCTTATAGCATAGATAAAAGTGATGTGAAGGTAAACAATCATTCTGGATGATGAAACATCGCTATAATTATTAAGTCACTTCCTTCATATTCAAAAATACACCTGAATTATTTCTAGAAGCTTCTCATACTTTAATCGAAACGAAGTTCCGGGTGATTATGATGTTTAATTGTGCCGTGCAACAATGTGTGAATACTTGCATGTGTCTTAACAAGTAATCGCGTGTTAATCCTGGAGCTAACATTGCCCTGAGTCCACATATAAACTGTTTCGTGTTATATAAAAGAAGTATCTATGCCACAGTGTATATTTAATCAGGAAAAAGAAATTCATTTCCAAATAATGTAAGGTATCTTTGACCCTATTAGAAATTATTGGAGTAAATTTCAATGTAATTATTGAATTTAATTTTTTCTTTTAATTAGCGAGTTCTATTAACGTTTTTGTTATCAAAGTATGTACGCGATTAATTTATGAATCACAAAATCGCGGACCAATTTTCATGGCTACGTTCATTAATGCACCAAACGACGTTTCAATCCCCGCAGCTAGAGACGCTCGGCCAGCGGGGTCAGGTTCATAAAACTTTATCGTGGTCCCGCGGTGGCGCAAATAAAATTTACGTAATTGCCATTATAAATGAACGCCGACCGCCGCTAGTTGCCGAGCCAAGGTGGTTCTAATGCCAAACGATCCTATAAACTGGTCTGATATACATATTCTGCGGTGCTATTTGTAGCTGTCTTCATTGTCTTCGCGGTGATCTATGGGAGACGTGAGTCACGCCGCGTTTGCACGCTTGTTCCGGTACGGTAGAACAGTGACTCGTAATTGAGTACAGTGAAGAATACAAATATTTAACCGTGGGTGACGTTAGAAATTGATCGAGATGGCTGACTGCATTACTTATACGATTCTTTGTTCTTTTATATGGTCTGATTCCAATTTGATTTCAAGATGACGTTCAACCCTAGTAATTGAATTCGTTTGATATACAAGTCAAATTCGGGGAATACATTCATTTTTTACTAGATTCTTATCTATGAAAATTGTTTACGCCTAATTAATATCGAAATATCAATAACCAACAGTATTAAAAAGAATTAAGTATGAAGTAGTCGAAAATAAGGAATACGTATTTTTTTTATCAGCTGAGACGTGACTTTAAGGGGTGAAATCATCCCTCGAAGTTTCGACGCGAAAGTACTATCTCGAAAACCAGATGAGACACGTGAAAACTTCTGATGGACGAGGTTTGCGGCTTTTTATGTACAATAATATGGTGCTAACAAATTGTCCAAAATATAATTTGTTTATAACAAAAAAATTTCGAATCGAAACTTCGAGGGGTGGTTTCGCCCCTTGAAGTCGCGCCTCAGCCGATAAAAAAAAATACGTATCCCTTATTTTTGATTGCTTAACAGACATACGGAGTTTCATCAAAATCGGAGGGGGACGCTTTCGTGCCTTCCCTTATGAGACATGCGTACCTATATGTGAATAATAGTTCGGCGTTAAACAATCTCATCTATAATGAAGTGTCAAATAACCATTCAGGTCCACACATCTTATTATTATTTTCTCTATGCACCTATTATTACCGAATAACTCAAGAATGCACTCTTTCGAGTTTAACGCTCACTCAGTTCCATTTCGCAATCGCGATTTATCGCAGTTGTGCAACGGGGTACATTGCACCAAACACGCCTCCCGGAATAAACGTCGTTGCGCAACACCGCTGTCTCTCCGGTGGCCGTCTTAATTAGCCCCGGTTACGAATCCCGTATTCTTGACTTTTCGACAATTACGCGGCGGGTCGACCGCGACAGCAGAGACATTGTATCGGGTGCGGGTATACCTACGGTCGCGTCAGGGGGCTCGCGGGCGGCCACCTGTTGATGGCCGGATTCCGTTTCCTGAACTTCGCCCGCCCGCACGCCTCGAGTCCCCGCTGCCACGCGTTTACATCAGCAGAGGACACATCCAGATCGAACAGACGATACCACCCCCCTTTGAAATGGGATCACCGTTAGAAAATATGGCTACTACGGATACCGCTGCCATGAGAGGAGCGCGTCAGGGGCTGACGCTCGTTTCAATTGCTCTCGAGTCGTTCGTGGGAAAGCTGTGTAATGCAGCGATTTCATGGAACACGTTTACTCGCTAACGAATTCACTCGAGGATAGTAAAGCTGTTTTCTGGGATTATTAACCTTTTAACCCTCGGAGTACGGTGACCGGGTCCGTTTGGACTCGCATGTTTAAAAGCCTTATCTAACTCATTGATTCGTAAATGTAATTTAAGCTAGGAGTTGTTCATATTTGGTCGTATAAAAATAATACTTGAGGACTATTCAATTATGCCTTTTTTTTATTGTTTTTAGTATTAGATGGCGTTAGCTATGTTCAGATGAACTGATCTGTCTTTATATGTGTGTATTTTAGAAAGAAATTCTTCAAAATATCCAGGCATTCTTATAAAAAGCTAATATTAAAAGTGTCGCCATTTAATTAATATCGGTAAGAAGAATACTCACTCGGTGATCCTGCTGGCGAAGTTGGTCGACGTGTTGATGTCGTACCACGTCATGTCCTGTCTGAGAACCGAACGCAGGAACATCTTTCGGACCCTGGCGATTTGGCTGGAAGCCGCCATGTTCAGGAAGTCCACGGTAAATATAGCGAAAAAGAACTGTATCGTGGATAATGCCGCGGAAGACACTCCGAAGGCTACCGAATCGTCGTAAAGCGCGATCATTCGCTCCTCGTACGTAGAATTTGGTCCCCTGCAACCAGAATCATTTCAATTTATCGTATCTACAATATAATGATGCATTTATTTCTATATAAAAAATTAGGAGCAACCGTAACAATATAAATATAAACATAAACAATTTAACCCTTCTGGACCTGAGTTATTTCTTTCAAACCAAAAAAAATTATTTGTATATAGTTATTTCTTGGATGTCAGAAAATGAGGAAAATTGAAAAAACAAAATAATGAAAATAATTGTTTATAAAGAAAAATTAATATTAATTAAATAATTTATAAATATTATTTTCGAGAATGTATGCACCTAACAGGAAAAAATTAAACTACACGATACGATGCTATATTGAATTTTCAGGCTAATAATATGACAGTTACAAATGTTAATAATATGATGAGTCCAAATGGGATCCTACGATCGGAGATGGTTTATAATTAATAGTATAATTCTCTGTGATATATTTTAAAACAAGGGAACTATAGTTAATCCCATATCAAATTCGCGATATTCGTACGAGATCAACAAGTAAGTCACTACAGTGGCTTCCCCTTAAAAAACTTATTAGAGAAAAGCCACAATAGCGGCGGTTCGTTCCAAAAAAAAACCCCAGCAGGAGACCACTAAGGGCTAGTAGTAGGTAAAAGGTTAATAAATTTATCCGTAAAGAATTTAAACCTTACGTCGCTATACCAATCCCACAAAAAAAAAAATAGAAAATCCCAGTGTATTCGTTTTAACACTTACAAGACCTTTCCTCCTCCGAACCACTTCATAATGAGGGTCGGTGTACTCGTCTGATTCTTCATGTTGCGATCCACCAGCAACGTGGTGAATTCACCGTACTGGATCGTCGATATCGGTATGCAGAGGCCTGTCAGCGTTCCCATAATCAGGCCGCCGAAGATCAGCATCAGCTCCCCGCATGTTGCAAATCGAAACTGCGAACAACCGAGGCGATACCTCTCGTGTTGAAACTTTACGAACGACGCGATCAAACTGAAAATCAAACTTTCCACGAGTCTGGGGGATGGGGTGTGGTTACGCGACGACGACGACGACGACGAAGGTTTAATTAATCGCGGCCGTGGTTCGACGTTATGTTAATTATCCAAGCGATGGCATCCGCCCGCATAGGGGGGAATTTCGCGAAATTCCGCGGAGCCTCGGCAATTTGTCGCGAACTAGTCGAAAATTTCAGAAACATATTCGCGGATGATTTAGTGCCCCAGCGCAAACTTCCCGCTTTTCCGGGAGATTTAACCCCCCCGGGGAAAATTAATGTCGGCCTAGTCGGCGATTAATGGATAGCGATCCACGACTCGCAACGAAACAAAAACACAGGCGAGGATCGATCGACGGGGACCAAAGCTCCGTTCGGTTTCTCGAGAACAAAGAGGATCGGTGACGCGAACTTCGATATTTTCCGTCCGATGGAACGGAAACGCGGAACTGTGTGATTGATTCGCTGAGAGTTTCAGGGAAGTTTCAATCCTTTCGTTCCCAGTGGTTATGTATTATATTATAGAAATAAAATATTAGTATCTTGTATTTTTCGTATCTGTGAGTATCCAGGGTGTTTAAAACAAGGATCTGAGATTTTAGGTTCCTATTAGCAATGCAATACAAACTTATAAAGCCATAATTTCTTTGAAATAACTCAAGTATTTACTGTTCAAATCTAAGAATCATGGATTTTATTATGGATAATAATTTTATAATGTAAATTATTAAACGAACGAAAAATGGCTTTAAACGCTGTCAAAATGTTAACACGAAGAAAACATTTTTCCTATAATTTTTAAATAATTTGAAAATAAAAGTGTGAAAGCACCGGTGGTTATGAACCTCGTCCATTTCTCATTGTAATCGTATTAGAACCAACGTTTAACAGCAACGAAAAAGCTATTAATAAATTCTTCATTACCAGCAGCAAATTGCAGCACGGTAACCCCAGCGACGTTATGTAATGAGAAAATCTTCTTTAAATTTTATATAAAAGAGAATTTATAAGCACCTCGCCGGTAATTACCATCGTCAACGTGCCCGCAGGTGGAAAAATGTTAAGCAGTTAATAAAAAATCTTTCTGTAATGAAACTATTTAATTTTGGGGTGGTGGGAAATAAATATTTGTTTGCGAGTGCGTTAATTACAGTAACGTAGTTACCTTTCTTTTAAAAACACGTAGTTGAGTACAGTTACCTCCGGGATAATTATAATAATTTTAATTAAAGTGTTTCATCTATAATAGTGATGTAATTCCTTATTATTTCTATAAATGGATTAGGATACTGATTACTGGAATTTAGTTTAATTCTACAGAGCCAAACTTTCAACAGCAACTAAAAGTGGACGAATTTGTTATATATGATGCAAATATAGTAGAAATGAAAGCAACGTTAACACGCTCGTCCCGCTACTTATAATATAAGTTACAACGCTCAAGCGTGACCGAGTTTCCGGTTACATCGAAAATATAAGTGTGAGGGACCGCGAACATTTGGCGGGAAAAACTTACAAGTTTGAAGTAAGGCACTGGTGGCAACGTTGGTTCCGGCGCGACCGGTTTGTCGTCCTCCTTCTTTTGCGGTGGTACGAACTCACTGTGGACACAAAAAATCGTCGACGTTCAATCAATAACGTCCCCGTGAACATTTCACGAAATCACGAATTCTCGTTCAGAATGATCTATACTCGTCGAAGAGCACTTCCGGCCGCGGAAATCGCTGAATCCATCAAAAAACTTCAGCAAAAAACTCACGATTTATTCATATAAATCTCCATTGGTTGGCCAAAAAGTAATGTCGCATTTCTGCTGTAGATGATGACTTTTTTCAATACACAATACTGCTTTCAACTAATAACATAATATATACACATATTCTGAAAAAAAAAGAAATAAAAAAAATCAACAAGTTGTTTAGAAAAAAAAATCATTAAAAATGGATTTTGAAAATGGGTGGCGACAAGATGTATTTTCGGGGGATAGAAGATGTATAACTCGTTTTGTTTATATTAAATTATTAAAAGAATTCCCTACGTGTATGGCAATGGTGCTGCAACCGAACGGAAATGAACAAAAATGCTGGAAAGTATAGCTTCTCATTACTCATTTTCAAAGCAAGGTCAATTCAGGAAAATTCAATCCAATCCTAAAGAATTTTTTGTTAAACAACGCGTTGTTGTATCAACTTTCAAAATATGTAATACATTTTATTAGCGAGGAGCAGTACTTTGTATTGAACTAAAACAAAGAACTTTTTGGCCAACCTAAAATAAATATAAATTAATTGATCATAATTATAAATATTAATACTATTAATTCTCATAATTTAATAAAATACAATATCGTAATCCGGAAGTGTTCTGTCGTGAACGTATACTTGCTACAATTAAGAAAAACTTTTTATGTCAGGCATATACGATTCTTCCGGTCCTTCATACGAGGATTCGCTTAACAATTCCCACAACTTTTTCTACAACGATCCTGACTCTGTACTTGGGTTTTTTCCTATTTTTTTTTTTATACATTTCTATTTTTAACATTCATCTGTAAGAATCGTATTCGTACATTGGTTTGCCATTCTCTTGTAGCATATACTCAGTTTCCTCTTTATCCTTCTCCGCGTCTTGGAGCGTGTCTGAAATGAAATATAGATGGTACCGTACACAAAAAGCATCCTGCAACAATAGTTTTCATATGCATCGGAAGATAGCGTTTAAAGATTAGTTTCGTCGTCCATACGACGTGCACGAGAGCGAGACTCGTCGATCAATGGTCCAGTCAGACCGATCGTGTCATATTGGCGCTGACATCGGTCGTCGGATTGTTTTCGTCAGACGTCAGCCGATTTGATCGACCGACAGCTTGGTCACAATGCTTTAGACTAACCTCCGTTCCATGCATGGACATAGAAATCCAGTGGACTTTAACTATATTGCTATGTGTGGAGATCCACAATCTATATTTGTGTATTTATGGCTCCATGTAAGAATAACCTCACGCTCGGACGAGTTTTCGACCGAGACAGACGCATGAGATTGCTTGTAGCTCGCTATCTCTGCCGATCTTCTGCCAATGAACGGTCTTAGATCACGTTTCATGCGCGAAACGAGGTTATTCTTACGTGGAACGAAATTTAATTGGTGAATTGTCGACATAATAAACTTTGCAACACTTCTGTATTGTGACAGTCCATTTTAACATCGGTCAAATCGGCCGAAAAAAAAACAATCAGATTTGAACTCGCCCGATCTCCGACCAACGTCGGCTGTAATCGGTCGATAAAATCGGTAACAACATTTTTGAAAAGATCAGGCGAGTTTTAGTGACATCGGGAGTTAGATGAATCGTCCGATGTCGGTGCTAATTTGACCACAGTCTTATTATCTTGTAAAAATCGTTACCGATTTTTCACGGTCGATGGTCGCACACGTCACTGGATTATTGAAATCATGCAAGGAAAATATCGTGAAAGACGTTGTTCGCGTAATTCTTGGAATTAATGAGGCTCTCGATCATTTACTTAACTCCGCGTGTGTTCCATTCTTGGTAAACAATGATAACGATCATATGGCTTCTCAATCGTGAATGCTTCTTACAAAATAGGTTGACAGAACTTTCGAGCTTAGAGTTGCAAGAAGTTTCATGTGACTGTTTACAAGCGATAATATTGATAATGTTAAAGTCGTTGGAGAAATAAGATCGACATGACGACTGCGGCAGCTTGCTGTGAGATGGAAATTGATTGATCTGATAAGAAATCGAACAAATCAAAAAAAATCGGTAGAAAAATCGACTGGATTTTCAAACTCAGAGTGGCACCAAATTTCTCATGGCTCTAGGTGATAAAATTGTATTAAAAATATGTTAGAAGTCGTTGCAGAAATAGAACTGACGAACGCGGAAGATGAAAAGGTATAGACGTCAAAAATTTATGGATCTGATAAAATAATCAATGATACACGGTTCGTGGGACCTGGTAATGGAATTTTTAGAGACCAACCAACTGTCTAGACAGTTGAAACTTTTATCTGTGCGGCGAAGATGACGCGTTCTCCGCTTGTGAATATTTCTTATGAAATCAGCTGACAAAGTTTTGAAACCGTAGTTACATGAATCGTATGCGCGTGATTGTTTGCTGCGAGCGTGACGGGCGATTACAAGAAATGAAAATGATAAGTGAGAGGAATAAGTTTGCATCGTGATAGTAAAACCTGTTGGCGCCTGTAGACATTCAGAAAAATCGATGATACTTCTACAAGGAAGAAGCATCCAGCACGTGCGTATATATCTTGCAACACAGTATGTATGGAAAATTGCACAATGTAAGAAAGATAGAAATAGATTCTATAGAAGATAGTAGAATTCCATTTGAACTTGCATTATCAAGTATCCTAGACGGAACGATGGATATAAAGGATTTTCAAGTTATTTTTAGACATCTTCGATTATCCTGACAATTCTAAATGTAGAAATTGATCTGGACTTAATTATCGATAAACTTTTTATAAGGGATTTTCTGCAGGTCCAATATTAATTTATGATTTACTTATAATTTCAGTATGGTGTTCTTCAGCATTATGGATTTTATTTCGAGTAAATTCAGTGAAGTTCAATGATGTTATATTAAACCTCGGGCAACACGGGGGAAGGGGTGGGTCAATTTTGACCCAGAATTTCGGAAACTTCATGGACTATTGCAGCTTACAGATATAAAGAATTATTAAGAAGACCTGCATAGTTTGTAGGAATTCGTTCCAAAACAAATTTAAAGATAGATGAGTAGGGGTCGATTTTGACCCAGGTACCACCATCTGTTCGAACGCCGCCTATCGAGAGTTAATTCTAAACGAACGATTCAAAAACACTAAAAATCTCTCAAAGAAGATTCTTGAAATCCCAGTACACAAAATGAAAAAATACCAATCTATCCACAATTCTTGAAACTTTCTTCCATTTACGTAAGACTCATCTAACCAGGCATCAGAGGTTAAAGAATGAAGATCCAGAATCATCTAGATGAAGAAGAAGATCCGAATAAAGTGTCCTCCATCCTAACCGAAATTCCCCAGTCATCGATCCTCTATGGATAATCGATCCCCATTATTCCTACACGGTAATAAACGATCCGAGCGACAAGCTGCGATGCACGGTATAATAAATCACCGTGGCACACTCCGTAAATCGTCGGTTTACGGCAGGTAAAGGGTGAAGGAAGTTACGGGGCGGAGTTTGCGATGGGCCAACCGATGGACTGGCCCGGAAGTCGGCCGGGATCTGCCCGTAGGGGGTCCATTAGCGTTGTAATTGCTGTTCGGAACTCTCGCGACAAATCTACGATCGACACTATACACGGAGGATACGAAGCTGATAACATCACAGATTATGACGACGTATGCGAAGGAGTTCAATCCCCTCTGATTCTTGAAATACGCTGAAATTGTCTACGCTGCAATAGAGCTAAATGTTGATATCACTTACAGTAGTGTGCAAAAATCTTGAACCATCTATCATACCTACAAGGTGTTGAAATAAGAATGTCGTATAAGTTACGTGTAAATATACAGAGTGTTAATAAAAATATGGGTCGATTTCACAGAATAGATTTGTACACGGTAAACTAAAATAAAAGCTAAGAATAACGAAATTGCTCTCGAGGTTTCTGTTCCAAGTTATTAATTGTTGAAACTACGAGCAAAATACTCACATTTTTATTGACAGCCTGGATACTGACTTCTCGATAGATATTAACTCTGGTGATAGACGTTTGACTGTGTGAACAGGAATGTTGCAAATATTGGTCGAATTCAAATATTGAATTTTGATTGATTGAGGGAACACTGGGGTAATTGTTTGAACAGTACACAAGGGTTAAAGCGACTATTGATATTTAATTTGATATTGGATGTGACGAGATTCAACGTCAATATGCTTCAAACTTAAGAATACTATACTTTCCCCTAGAATATTGAAAAAAATCTAGAAAGTAAAAATAATTCTTTTCTATTATACACGGTAAGGTAGATAAAATTGGACTCGATCGTGGAAATATCCACTGTGGCAAACATTATTTATATTTTTAACACCGCGACGGTATATATTGTTAGATAAAAATAACGTCCGATGAGAAATGACGATGATCCCCCTCCAAGGTTGCTTCATTCTCCAAAATAGCTGAATTTATAGTAATGTGCAATCCCTTGATTCATCCAGCAAATAAAAACCTTCCGAGAATACTTCTGTTTCATTTGCGTCACTAATTACACGTTTGCCCAACGTCGTACGATTGTATATTTAGCGCCACCCTTTACCATCTTCGTGGACCTCCCACGATTACTTCAAACGAAGCTAATTCAATCGTATGGACTTAATTGGATTCTTTGTAACTCGTCATCGTTACGGCTTCGATTGATCAACCAATCAATCTCATAAAATATTGTTGTCTGGAAATCATAAAGGTGGCTTTCTCTACTAATTTACGTTGATATTTTAATTGATTTAATACCTAAGAAACGACAGTGACGTGTTTCAAGAACGAATAATCGAGAACTCTCCGATCAGAAGATCCAAAGGCACAAGTGCCATCGTCACTTTTCCAATCCCATTCCTAATACTCGATCAATCGATATGGCACAACGTAATCCAACCTTCTTAGATGATTCAATAATCCAGTACGAAAACGTTCGGCGATACACTAAAACGACACGTTCTCGATTCGCGAGACCTCGATCGCCGTCGATTCCCGATCGATCAGCAGTTCTATCAGTTCGTATCGGACGGGAAACAACAAGAATAGGCAAACAATGTTTCCACTCATCGATCATGAGCATTGTGACCGTCGATGGAAAAACCTCCCGCTGTTCGCTTTCGTGCACGATCGTTTCGCTGAAAAATTCGGCCGTGGTGTTGCTGATAATGCCCGGCGGCGGATTAATTCACCGAAATTTCCCGGTGAACGCGACCGATTCAATCAACACCACGCGTGGAAATTATACGTGGAAAAGTTAATGAAATCACGGTGCAACGGACAAGAGATCGGTGGTGCGAATCAATTCGACGAACGGAAAAGGTGGTGGAACGTATATGAGACTCTTGTTCTACTTACACTTCAAGAATATTTTTTCCTGGTGGTGAGAGTTTGTTTTGCGGGGTTCCATTTCCATACCCTGGGCCTTCTCGCCCGGGTTTCCGGTCCACTGATAAATTCGCCGTGTCATCGCGCATTCTTAATTAACAACTCTGCAATCAGAAGAAACATTTTTGCCATTATAGACATGTGTGTTTTCGAACAGTAAAATTATTAATGTAAAAATGATATTTACTTATTGCTGGATTAAATGCACTAGTGAATAAATCACTGTATTTTACCAAATTTAATATTTGTAAAAAAAATGAAAACATATGCCCCCTTAATAATATTTAATTTTGTTCTTTATTATCAGACACGATTTTCGTGAATTAAAAGAGCAGGTAGACATACTGACTTGAAGTCTATATCTACTGAAACTCTATTGCAATTTCATTAAGGAAACAGTGAATTACTTATTGGTATTCCGAATATATCAAGCTTCGAAAGAATTCTATTGCAATTTCACTAAAAACTAATAGTGAATTACTTATTGGTATACCTACTATAACAAGTTTCGTAAGAATTCTATTATAATTTTACTAAACAAACAGTGAATTTCTTATTAATACATGTAACACATCAATCTTCGAAAGAATTCTATCATTTCATTCAAAATTTCCCTAGAATACCAAAATATACATAGAAAAAACGCTTCAAGTTACACGGTTTCAATAAAACGCACTAAACAGTAAAAAATAATTTTTTTATCTATAACATTCTTGATTACACGTGACTAGAAATAAAATCGTTGGGTATGCATATTATTTATTAAAGAGTAATCATTCTAAAATGATATTTACATCATATTATTTCTATTGTTCCATAAAAATTCTGTTAGTGTCCCAATATAATTCTTTCATGGATGACCCACGATTTAATTTTTGGTCACATATAATCAAGAATGTTGTGACAAACAGAGAAACCAACCTAAATAAAATCTGTGTATAAATAAAAATAGTATCTTGTTCATACAACTAATGCGTCAAGCTCCGAAGAACCTCCCTACATCGAAAGAATACCGTCTCCACGCGAGAACGAGGCGTGCGATAGAACGACAAAACGCTGCAAATGCGTCTTCTCGTCCAGTTGGCAACTCCTTCCGGGTGGGCTTCCGGTACCGCGATCTCATCGATGATTTACGACGCCGCGGAACGAAGGGAAGGACTAGTCTGGTGGTGTTCTCAGCCGCCCTATGGGCGGTCCACGCGCGCGCGACTTCGGAGACAATTTATTGTTGCATCGATCGGTAACGAACGGGAAATTTTATAAACTATCCCCGTCGACGGGCGGGCAATGAAGGAAAAATTGGCTCGGCGTGTACCGGCCGGTTATTGGAATGGAGACAAATGAAATCGCGGAGCTCTCTCGTGAAATAGGATAATTTGAAATTGACTGCGAGACGCGCAGTTCGATGCTCCCTACCCTCTCTATTCGATCTCTCGATGCTGAGAGGAGGAGAGATCGTTAATAAATGGACCGTTCCGTTTATTTGTTCTTTTTTCCTTTATTCGTTACGTTCGATTTAAATGGAGAAATATTTCTGTAAATATTATTCTATTGGAAATTACGCATAATGAATTCGAGACAGAGTTCTCTGTTTGAATGGACAATTGAGAGGTAATGTAGTCGGGCATTGGAATTATTGAAATTTGTTACGAACTGGTAGTGTGTATCGTGAAATTTGCAATAATATTGGAAAAAGCAAGTGGAAAATACGGGGTACATTTTGTTCGAACGAGCCTTTGTTAACGAGGAAGTCGAATTTCCGTATTAATCGGGCACGAATGCACGAGTTCTCGGGGCAAGTAGAAACTGCAAGTAATAGACAGACATGGAATCGTCCTGTTCCATAACACGCGTATCCTAGTAGTATTTGTAACGAACGCATTGAGAACAGAAAATATATTATTCTGTTTTCGTTAGGTTCACGCAAAAGTAAAGACCGTCGCATTTTGTTTGATCGTGGTACAATTTTTAAAATGTTAAGTAAGGGCAAAAAGTTATAGCAATGAGATGAACTACTATTTCGAATGAGAACCACTGCAGCAATTGTACAATACTTATACAGATTTTACTGCTTAACTCTATAAATCCTCTAACCATTGTAACAAATTCTTGTTTAACCCTTTATCTACTAAGCATTACTATAATGACTTCCCTCTGGGTGACGTTTTTTAACGAAAGGCAACTATGTACAATAGTGGCTCACTTATTTTCTTGCTTTTACAATTATGTATGTTGCTTGGGTAATGTGAAAATATCTACACTTTTTCCATTTTTTACACTCCACAGTCAGTTCCGCTATAGCGAAAGGGTTAATTTTTGAAATTTATAATACAATTTACGAAAAAACGAATCTACACAAGCACACACAATCTACAATACCAGTAACTTAAAATTCGTTTAAATTAATCATCCCTTTCGCTTCGCCCCCCTCAGCTAATTACATTAAAGCATTCCTAGTCCCCCATCAATGAAACTCGATCGTAAAACGCGTTCTGCCCCAAGCGAAATGCTTTCTCCGTCTGCAGATGAAATTTCTGCGGTATAAAAATTCACCGTAAGAAGCTTCTTTTTAAAAGGAGCGTTCGAAGGGGGAATAAGAGTCGGAGACATTGGCACGCAGACGCGTGGCGTCGTTATTTCTAGTTACTTAAGGTGCGGTAACGGTTCTGCACCCCCCGCAACCCCTCACAACCATCCCTGTTCCCTGATGAAAGATGAGACGCCATAACAAAGGAACGGTTGATCAAAGCGCAAAAGTAATGAAAGATACGAGGCCGGGGATAAAAAGGGCAGGAGCTTTTTATTGGCTTTCTCCCGTTTACTCAACGAAGTCTCGTTTAGAGTGCTTTCGATCTTCATTAAGGATCTCGAGCCTTCTGTCGTCGATATAATAAGACGGGGAAGGGAGAGAGGGCATAGGTTCGTCGTTATTTTAAGAGATTGCGCATGATTCGGTTAATGAAATAGTTCTGAAATTATATACCGAACGATTCGTGGAACGCGTAGGATTCTCATAAAAGATAAACTAGCGTACAGAATAACAGTAAAATCTACTGTTTTATGGAAAATTCAAGTAATTTCGATATTTTGGTTTTAATCGATTCAAACAAAAAAATTGTAAATCAGGTATCTAAATTTTGTCATGAAATTGAGTGACGTAGAATACTGTTACTCTGGAATTGATACTGAACTTAATTTGTTCTACAAGCTTACGGAAACCACAATGAATCATCTGTTGACTATATTATTCTTGAAGTAAACTTTCCTTTGTACCTATATAAATATTCACAATTCAGCGTAGTATTTACAATTATTACGAGTTTATACTTTAATAATGTTGAACTTGGCTTCTTATAAACGGCTTGACAAAAATGACTGAAAGATTTTCGCTAAGAGTTTCATGTCTCAAATATTTTTGCAGAAATTTTTAACTAATATCCCTCTGATAAAAAAAAGAACTTTGTATAAATTGTTACGAAACTGTTTACAAAAGTAACATCAGGCGAAACTTTCTTTTATCATATTACTACACAGACACGATCGAAGTTATACGTTTCATGGATTACCCTGTAACGTCATCGTCTCGTCGGAAAAAAAGTAAGTCGGCGAGTAATTCAGCCCGAAGGTCGGCTAATGAGAAAATTGAAGTCCTTCTTTTAACAATTAGGAGAGTGTCTCCACCCTTGGGAAGAGGCGAAAGAAGACGACGTTCGTCCCGCTAACGAACAGCCTCGCTAAAGTCAGTTTGTCACGCAGCTGCGATATCCCTTTGCCGTTCTCATTATTCCGTTCTTTCGGCAAGTAGAACGTTAATTCGGTGTAAAAGGTTGGTTGAAAAGTGATTATACATAATATCAGGTTTTGTACTCCCTATAAAGTAGCAGGAATATCGACGGAAATTCAATCGGATTTAATCGCGGCGGGACGAAAACGGCGACCGTATCGAATTTGAAGCTTTAAATTTGGCGCGCATTTTTAGTTAGTTCGATACATGCTCACAGTTTTGACTTCCGAGGATTGTTTCCCTTTTGTAGACAATGCATATTTTTCAACCCTTTTTCATAGTGTACCATTTGAAAAATACTCGTGATTTTATCCACTATTCTTTCATTTTCTTCTGTTCCAACTGAAACCCAACAGTTCGGTGAGAGATAGTATAGATAGGTAAGAGACAGATTATTTCTGCAATTAATTACATTATTCCTATTAATACACTAGCAGATACATAACATTCAAGGTAAAACTATCCCATCCTCAATCTGTCAATTAAAATTACGATTTTCACGTGATCCTTAATCTCACTAACGACACGAATGCTTAAAAATCAACGTACTCCATCTCGACAGAAAGAAACGATAGTAGAAGAGAGAAAATTACTATTCACGATGATCTGCATATTCAATATTCGTCTCATTCCCCTAATAGAAACGTGACTGGTGTCGCGAGCATAGATCTAACCGGTCAATCGATTAATTAACACGGATTAGCGTAGTTTCTAATCATCGCATCGATTGGATATCCTGTATTGTAAACGTATGATACAGTGGATAATGACCGAGGCAAATAGAGTTTGTTGTCCGTGGATTATCGTTGCTAATTGCAGTTTGCGCGGGCGCAACCCCCCCTCCCGCCCATTCGACACCCCTTCGGATCGACGAAACAGATGCTTCTAGTGAATCGAACGCCGACAATGGATCGTGCCGGGCAAATATTGACCGCAACAAATATAGGACGGCCGGCAATCAAAACGTCAGTCCCGGCTTAATTTATTGGCGGTCGCGTAAGGGTGGCGCCTGGTTTTTTTCCCCCATTTGCATGACGTCCGGTTTCGTCGCGACGACATCCATCGTTTTGGGATTTGCGGCGGATCTCGAGGCTCGTTTATCGTGGATCATCACTAGACTATGAATATTATGCATTTATAGTACATGCAACAAAATAGTAAAACGTTCAATGAACTATAAAACAGTTTTTATTCTTTTTAAGGTCTGATTGAACCTTTAATTTATTATGGCTACTTCAGACTCCGTGTGAATAATTATGCACATTAGTTTTATTTTGTAGAAATAAAAGAGAAATGTTAAAAAAAAAGTTATTTTAATCT